TTTAGTGTGTGGGGGGGGGGAGGGGGGGGGGGGGGAGAGATTTCGGTCTTTCACGTCGAAGGAAATTTAAAAAGCTCCGCGGGGGTAAAAAGCCATAAAAAAAAACCACTTTCGATACTTCGCGTAAACATGACAAACGTCGTCGTCGGAAGCTGTAGAAATTTCGCTGAAGGAAACTTTGCATGCCACCTCGTCCCGCGATTGATAATAGATAAAATACCTCCCTTTCAATTTATATTACCATAATTCTCCCATAATTCTCGCATTATTATATAGGTGAGCGTAACTTTTCGCCATGTTATGCACCTGAAACCACCTCGCTTAGCCATTTAATGTAATTTTGAGATCCTACACGCTCTACATAGTTTTATCATCGGATTTAACTCAGCTTTAGATACATTAACTTATTAAGAGATTTATTTTACTGCATTTTACGCTTATTACATTGCGCGCTAAATGAGAGATAAGGTAATATAAATTTCTTTTTATATTATATATATAATATTATATTTTATATTACTATATTTTATATTAATATTATATATTATATTTTATATATAACTTTGTTAAATTTCTCTCTCTCGTGACAATAAATCAAATTGTAAAACGTCATGCTAAAGTTACGTACATTTTATTGCATTCATTCGGTATTTTACCGATGGGAGCGATAAGAAGAAAATTACAAACGCGACGAAATTTAAACGACCGTTTCGAACTTTTAATTAACTCCAAGTTAAAATTTGTTCTACAAAGATCCATCGAACGCTACTACGGTACCTGAAATTTATTTGTACGCGATGCGCTTTGAACGCGTATCTAACACTTTATTCTCTAGAAATGAGTAAGTTAGTATATCAGTCCATGATATATATATGATATATATATAATCGAACAAGTTTGCCTTCATTTACGATCCGCTTGACTGCCGTTGCTATTTTTGGACGTATATGAATATAGAGAATTCCGACAGATTCCGGAAATTCGAGGCATTCCAATTAGGAAAATCGATATCAAATTACATGCTTGATTTAGCCCTTCCATAACTGCCAAAAGATTTATTTATGATGCTTGAATCTGCAGCGTAGCAGTATTTTCTATAAAATATGATACTATCACAAACCATAAAATCCGTGCAATAAAATTATGATAGAGAAATTCGAGAATAATCACATTTTTTATGCGACATTATATAATAGGAAATATTGATTTACGTAAAATTAATAACTTATATCATTATACGTTAAATAAATTTGTAGAATACTTAAGGAGGCATATCCGTTTGAACCTTCGAAAAATGAGTACATTTTCTAGATTTTTTTTGCAGCGCAACAATCTAATAAAAACTTTTTTTTTTAAAGTTATGCGAATATTTGCAGATTTATATTTTCATGCACGGTGGGCATGAAACTTTTTTTCAACACGCTGCCATTTTTCTATTTTTTGAAATTTCGGAAAAACGCTTGGATAACAGATAGCTATTAATAAAAAAAAAAGCTTGTATTTTTTATTTCAAATATGATCTATGAACGTTTTCTTGCACACCTAAAATTTGGAGGAGCTCTGCAAATATTCGCATAACTTTAAAAAAAAAAAAAAATTTTTTAAGCTGAAAATTTTTATTTGGATAGTTAATTATATTGTATTAATATTGTAAAAAAATTAATAATTTTTATCAAGTCGTTGCTCTGCAAAAAAATCTAGAAAATTCACTCATTTTTCGAGATTTCAAACGGGTATGCCTCCTTAATTGATTTATGTCACGCATTGTATGTGTGCGCGTCTCGTTGTCTCAAATACAATTAATTAGATAATATTTCACTATGTTGATTCCGATAAGGTCCACGCTTTCTTATTGCTGGAAATAACAAAGTTTCGCACTTTTTATCCACTCCTGTCATTCCTATTGCGAATCGTAAATTAAAAAGTTCTTGGCGCCTACGATTTTCTGACGCCGTAACTGTACAAAATATCTCACTTCTCGCGCATTATTCTTTGATGCCAGACTCCTTATCCAATCTGGATTTTTTCTTAGCGAAAATGTCAGAGAGTTATCATTTATCGCAACCTTAATAATTTTTAGCGCATATCTTTGCAATTAAATTTGAAATAAAATTAAAATTCCGTTAAACTCTACTTGAAATTTAGTTAAAGAATATTTTATTATCCGTTTGAGGCTCCCTTTGTTTCGCGAAAAGAGAGACTTTGTTTTTCAATCGCGTATGGCTCGAAACTTATTAATTAACGCTTCGACATTTTTGCTGAAGAAAAATCGATTAAAACAAGTCGAAGAATTTACATCATCTTTTCAAGAAATATATCTGTATACTTTTTAAAATTTGTGCAAACGAGATAATAAGACAGAGAAACATAAGGGCAAAAACTCACGTTGACTGCTACTGCGTCGTATGATGTTCTCCAGAAACGTGTTTTGGGGGGCTACCAGGCCCCTGCGGCCCCCTGGCATCCTTTCTTCGTTGAATGGTCCCAGATCCTGGTCGCTGCGGTGGCTATCAGGATCTCGGCCAGCCTCTACCGGCTAGTATGATCTCAAGCCGCCCGTGACACATGATGAAAATCCTTCGTATCTTTTTTTCTCTGTCTCTTCTTGCTGCTTTTAGCCCGGTAATCTTACCTCAGATGAGTATCTCTCTCGGTAATTTGTAACAAAAGCAACGGTACACCTCACGCACTCAAATTCGTTGGCGATGTCACTCGAACGCGGCGATCCATCATCGTGATTCATTTAGATCGGCACCCGCGCGCGTGCACGCACGAAAACGGTCCATCACCGGCACTAGTCCGAGATAAGCACGAAACACGAGTTTTGATGCGATTTTGCATAAGCGTGTAACAACAAGCAGTCCTTTTCGGAGAGCGAGCGCTCAGTTTTCAGAAAAATTTCACAAATTCGCGACACTCTCGAGCGACAGGAAAAAGCACTCAGTTTCCCATCATCACTTCCGGCAAATCAATCGAAGCACTCTCCGTGGCTTATGGCACTTGGGACAAATTCCAAATTCGTTTTCTTCTTCTTTGACGTTTCGATTCGGCGCGATTTCTAAATCAGCCGAAGCTTTCGGCGGATAAAGTAACGAAAAACGAAGGAGGCCTCGAATTCCTTGGAAGATTTCTCTTGTCGTAGATCCTCGTGCCGTTTATCACCGTCTTCCGAAAAGTCGACAATTCTTCGATGAACGATGACGAGGATAAGATCGACGACTTTTTTCGTCACCTGAATGACGTCCTCCTTCTGAACGTCATCGCGGCAGCTCGAAACGAGGCAGTTACGAGAATCAACGATCCCCTCGACCACGATGAGGAGAAGAAGTGGATCGTTTCGTAGAGTTCGAGCGTCTTAGGGATGGCCGGCTGAAAAAACTGATTTATCGATCCACTCGGGAAAATTGACACGTGTCCGACACGTGTAATCGTTTGCTGGTTTGATAGTCGATGAAAGGGTAGAACCAATCGAGCGATTATCGGAAATCGTTTTTCGAGATCGACGATTCCTGTCGGTCTGTTTATCCTATTATTTCTCCAGATCGATTTTACGAATCGGATTGAATACGATCGAACGGGGAGGCCGACGATGCTCGACGGGATTAACGTGTCTATCGACCCAGAGGACCGCTCAGCGACCACCGTGCTGCTGATCGATGGTCCACCTGGCTCTTCGAGGGCCCTCGAGCACGCTTCGAATTCACTTATCGATTTGCACGCCCGATGCTTGTCTGGAATTCCAACCACGCGTGCCTGCCAATAGTGCACGCTCGATTCGACGAACTCGTTTATCGACTTTCTCAACTCGACGTCGAAGACGACGGCCGTCGATGTCGATCTATCAATCGGCCCAGCCGTCAGTCGTTCGCGGGGACGAACGAGCAATTCGCCGAATCCGTTCGGAGTGAATATCGGCCGGAAATTCCCAATAATCGAGTCGTCGTGGAGAAGGACGATCGATCGGATCGATCCACCTGGCCGTCGTCCCTCGAGGACAATTATATACGTTGTTGGCGATCGCGATGAGCGAGACGGACCCCTCGTCTTATCCGCGCGCCCGGGGCGTCGATGGGCGCGTGTCCTCGACAATGCTCCCGGAAGTGTCGTCGGACGATGGCGGACGATGCACGACCGATGACCCATCTAACCGCAATCCTTCCAAGTGATCGCTCGCGCGGCGACGGTGACGAATTCGCGACAACGACGACGACGACGACAACAGGTAACGTGACGATTGCGCCGATGTACCCGTGACGTCGTTCTCCACATCCTCGGCGTCCTCCTCGGCGTCCGTGCAGGCGGTACCCGCGGAGGACATCCCTCGGGAGAGATGGGCCGAATGTAGGACGTCGACGGCCGACAGTCACATGACCATCTCGGGCGAGCGTGCTATCTCACGGATGAGAGGCACTTCGAGACCTTCGACTCGATCACGCGGTTCTCGTCTTACGACGAGCCTCGGTGTTCTCCAATGCGATGCCTCGCGCTTCAGTTACTTTTCCACAGGGATCTTTCTCGGATGATTGATGGTGATCGAGAATATTCCGACGACGATCCCGGTGAAACGCTTTCTGTAAACAAAAAAAAAAAATAATTGTTCATGTAAAAGTGAAAAACAGTAGCTCAATAATTTAAGGGAGCATACACGTTTGAACCTTCGAAAAATGAGTACATTTTCTAGATTTCTTTGCGGCGCAACGATTTGATAAAAACTTTTTTTTACGATATTAATACAATATTATGAAGTACTTAAAAAAAATTTTCAGTTTAAAAAAAATTTTCTTTTAAAGTTATGAATATTTGCAGATTTATGTTTTCATGCACGGTGTGAATGATTTTTTTTCAAAAAAAAAACGAAACTTTTTTCAACACGCCGCCACTTTTTAATTTTTTAAAATTTTGAAAAAAAAAACCGCTTGGATAGCAGATAGCTATTAACATGTTTAATAAAAAAAAGGTTGTATTTTTTATTTCAGATATGATTTATGAACATTTTCATGCACACCGTGCAGCCACCTAAAATTTGAAAGAGCTCTGCAAACATTCCCATAATTTAAAAAAAAAAAAAACTTTTTTTAAGCTAAAAACTTTTATTTAAGTAATTAATAATATTATATTAATATCGTAAAAAAATTAAGAATTTTTATCAAGTCGTTGCTCTGCAAAAAAATCTAGAAAATGTACTCATTTTTCGAGATTTCAAACGGACAAAATTAGAAATTAAATTAAATTATAATATTATTAATAAAATTTCATTTGCCGTAATATTTCGGATAGATGGCTTTTAAAATAGCGCATTACAATATAATTTTATTATTGTAACGTGTGATTTTTCGATTCTCCTTGTTCGACATTTTACCTCGTAGAAATTCGATTCGCCCGAAAATCGGCTTCATCTAATTCGCGGCTGTCCCGAATAATGTGCTTCTCGTCGTGTCGGAAGAAATATAGTGTGGTCCAACTTTTAATGTCATTCGAGAACTTTCTGATACGGTGCTTCCGAGCGCAAATCGTTGCTGCATCGCGTTCAGCCTGTTGCCGTAAATACATCGTCTTTGCTACGTCTAGAATCGGTTATGAACTCCAAAACGAGATGTTTACAAACACATATATGTCGTCTTGCGGTACCGACGAACTCTATTTCTACCGACGCGTTCCGGGCGTGGTCGATCGCGTCGTAAATATCATATATAGATATGATATGACACGTACATATATGATATGCCATGTCCACCATGTCGTGGCCTTTTTATATATATATAGCTTTGCATATGAATCAAGAGTATCTCCAAATTCCTTGTATATATTAACAAAACTCCATCGTTTATTATTAATTACTATTAAAAGAGTAGAGAACTATATATACTACATTTTGCTTCATAAATAATGTTTTTTTTTTTGTATATATTATATATTCAAAATAAAGCTTCTGACGAGTTTAAATAAAAATTATATATTGATTATTTCTTTGTGTGAACATGATTGAATTATGTAATATCAAACGATGAAATTTTTAAATAATTATTTTGAATTCTCCATTACAACTTTTCGCGATTAAGATTCATCGCACGCGAACAATGAATATCGTGCTAAGAAACACTTGAGGCCGGCTGACCTCTAACTGCTTGATATACACATCGAGAGAGACAGATATACCGTAATCTAGCAGCAGTCATAGACATGGTGATTAAAATAAAAGCGACAAACGGGATTGCTTGTTATAGACTCCGATTATGAATGGTGTTATTTTAACTCGTGCGAGAAAAATACCGCGACAAAGTTCTGACCATGTCAACTCCAAGTCTCGCGTATTTTCTTTCGAATTATTTCGAAGAGCAAAATAAAGCTGCATAGCAAGAATACTTGAGGGAGTATAATCGAGAATATTGCGTGTAGAGCGAGGCTACGCACCGTGATAAGATATATCCGGTAAACTTGAATCGCAAACTTTGGACTATAGTCGCAATTATTATTGTAGCCCGACAAGGTTGCCACGATTACTTCTTTTCGCGCGTCTATTGTACGCTGCTCCTCCTTCATGTTTAATTTCGAATCGATTGGAACGGTTACACCTACGTACTGCTACTTGAATCGCTCGGATAATTTCTAATCGCGTATAAAAGCATTAAAATAAACAAAGGTAATCGATATATCTGTCTATATATATCTATATATCTATATATAACGCATATAATATTGTTTAAATCGATCTATTATTAATCCCGCAGGTTATCAATCGTTCTACATCTTTAAAATAGAAAGAAAAAGAATTAATTTTTTATAGATTTTCCTGGATTTTTTACTTTAGATCTTTATACGTCTAAATTGTTTTCTGTAAGTATATGTATATGTAAGAAAAACTAACTTTACGAGAGAACTGAATAGAATTATTATCGAAGATTGCCAAGATAGAAGAGTTTTATTGATTGATAATACGCTTTCCTTCACGCACGAATGTTGATAACGGAATGATTATAATATTTTCGTACCTCTGCGTGTCAGTCCTTGTCTTTTTCCCCTTCTCTACCTTTCGTTGTAATGGGGTTTATCCCACTACGCCGTATTGACATACCAAATAAGTATGTTGTGTATATATATAAATATATGTATATAAACTATTAAATAAAATATAAAGAGAAAAAGGACTAATTTTATAGATCTTCCTCCATCTTTGACTTTAAATCTTTTTACACGTCAAAATTATTTTCTGTAGATATATGTAAGGAAAACTAACTCTTTATGAGAGAATTGAATAGAACCACTATCGAAGGCTGTCAAGATAGAAGAGTTTTACTGATGGATAATACGCCTTTCCTTCATGTACGAACGTTGATAGCAGAATGATTACAATATTTTCGTACCTCTGCGTGTCGGTCTTTGTCCTTTACCCCTTCTCTAGTTTTCGTTGTAGTGGGGTATACCCACGCCGTATTGACATAACAAGCAGGTATGTAAACAAAGATGTGTCGCTATTTATTACAGAGAGAGAGAGAGAGAGCAAGTATCTAATATTATATTTTTATATATGTAAAACCAGCATATTTTTAGAAGAGAAATATTTCCGATAAAAAACAAACAAAACAAAAAAATTTCGCTTAATTTTAGCATTACTCAAACAACGTATGACTCGTTTAACAAGCATGAAAATGCGAAAATCCTGCTAGGAAAAACCCTTGGAAAATAAATCTGTCTCTTAGATAAGCGGAGATCACTAATATTGCGAGGAAACTGTTCGAACAATAATCGGGAGTACTGTTTTATCCGCTCTCATTTTCTTTGTGTTTGAATCGTTTTGGCCAATCCTCGTATAAAAAGAGGATCGACCTCCTTTCCAGTCCGCTTGCATCCTCGAAGTATCAGCAAGATGCAAGCGCCAATGACAATGTCAAATCTGTGCGTTTCCAACGGCCTGACTTTTTGCGAGCGTTGCCATTTCCGCGTATGTCGCTCGTTATCACAAATGCAAGCAAAACCATCGTCAATGTTTTTCATTCCGCAACATGCCGTCGAACGATTGTTTGGTCATGCGCGCGAAATTGCGAAATGCATACATCAAAAACGCGATCGTGCATTATGTATTCGCCGATATTATGAGCTACAAAATATGTGTGAAATAATACTTTGGTACTTCATATAAAATATGAATAAAAAATTCAACAGTTCACAAACTTATATATAGTAAAATATATGGTCTTTTTTATATAATACAAAATAATGTAATATATATAAAATGTGATAAAATATAAATGTATATAAAGTAAAATATAAGATAGAAATTTTGAAAATTCAATTTAATTAATTAGTATACCATTACATTACTGTAAATTATTATACCAGTTATACTATTGCGAATTATTATAGTTATATACAGCCGATTTATTTCTTTATCGTTTATATAAATATATATTTGAGATAAACCGGTTTTTAAGTGAAAGCCGAGAGGAGCGGCTGTGCTCAAAGTTCGCAAAGAGCGAAACTTTGCTTGATGCAAAACACGAAGTTCCTCGCCACTTGATATTTGTGATAAGACGAGAGTGGCGGCGACGTATCGCGACGTTCATTAACTTACGAGCACAGCTGCTGCGGGAAACCGACAGAGAAAGTCTCGAGCATCTGCGAGAGTTCGATGTCTCAAAGGAATAACTGTCTCTTTCATGTCAAATAACGAGAATTGAAAAAAAAATAATAATCCGATGATTTTTCCTGAAACGTCGTGGAGAATTATAAATAAATTTGTTGAATAAAAATACTTTCTTTATAATTATATCAAAATAAATTTCTCACATATATTATCGTTCTTTCCCTCTATCTCAGAGATATTTATTCCTATAATTAAAAAGAATCTATTTTTTATTACTTTATATCATTGCACATCACGTAATGTTTCGGGATGCCGAGATGAAAAAAACAAAGACAGAATATAACTTAATTCTCTGTTTGTGCGAAGAGATAAATGATGGATATCTATGAACTGCGTTATCATATTCGCGCAAGCTACGAAGCGCCGCGCGTATTTGTACGGATGAATGGATGGAAGTTAGTTGGTAATTACCTAATGCGCAGATCAATTTTACTTAGGAAATTTATAGCAACATAAAATGAATTTTATGATACTATCTAAAAGCGATGCACCGCGAGAAGCTCTAAGGCAGCGCTTTTCAATCTAGGTGATACTTAAAATACAGCTAAGATGAAATAAGGAATACGAGTGGGACGGAAACTATTTAACGACCGGAAAGGCGATATTACCGCTTGCTCGGATTCGAATAACAATCATTCTCGAACATTTATCGACTCTCACTCCGCTTCTAATGCAATCTACGGATAACCTTGTCGAGAAATGTAGAATGAAGCGATGTGAACGGTCAAAATACGAGCTTGTGTAATTTACAAAAATTAAAAAATTAATTCCTTTTTATTTCCGCGAGACAATCGCTCTTTTTCTCTCTCAAATAACTTTTCTACCTATCGTGCGCTCACCCATTTGCGTCAACATCATAAATCATTGCGGTACGAAATCTAAGTTAACAATCCAAATGAATAATTTATCCAAGAGAGACAAATCGTTCCT